ACTCTGGGGAGACTTGAAGCTAATTCTCCTCTTAAGTTCCTGCACTTCTGCTGTATATGTAACTAGTGGTTTTTAACTAAAGTTCAAAACTACAAATGTTTCTAGCTTGGTATGCGATTCTTTCAGGGTTTTTTGTTTGTTTGTTTGTTTGTTTGTTTGTTTGTTTAAACATTCTCCAGACTTTCAGTAGAGGTGAAGCTGAAGAAAAGGTTTTGGCCAATATCTTAACTAGCTAAAATGGCTGAGGATATGCTGAATCTACCCCTCCTATGGATGATGGAAATTACTTAGAATTGCCCAGATTCTGTGCCAGCACATGGCTGAGAGTTTGAGCTCAGAGTGGTTTGAATTTGGCATAACTCAGTTCCTCTCCTCCCCACTCCTCCCTTTCTCTGGCTCTTTCGCTGGCTGATCTCAGCCAGCACAGGAGTTACGCCAAAAAATCCTGTTCCACCAGAAGATCTAAGAACAGCCAGCTCAAAGAGGCTGTGCTGGAACAAGGAAAGTGCTGCAAACATACAAGGCAACTGACCTTTCCAAATCCTGTACATCTGGTGCATCTGAGTTTGGAGTACCCTCTTAATGTAGTTTGGGTTGTTTGATTTAGGTATGGAAACGAAAGCCTTGTATAAATTGTGTTGCATGAGTTCTTAAGTTCAAGTTCCTAATAAACAAACAAACAAACAAACAAACAAACAAACAAACAACAACAACAACAACAACAACAATAATATATTTTCCTTCTACTTCTCCAATTGCAGCCCTCTCAGTTTCCAACTGCATAAACATTTTTCGACTATACATCTTGTGTCCTTCTACTTCTCCAATTGCACCCCTCTCAGTTTCCAACTGCGTAAACATTTTTCGACTATACATCTTGTGTCTATCTTCATGCTAAAATAAAACAAAACAAACAACCCAGGTTTATGGAAGCACATACTCACTGAAACACTGCAGAAGACTGCAACTTTTATTGATTTTGCTACTACACCCCACTACCACAGTCTTTCCAGAAAGCAAATTAGGGGTGTTTCTGCTTCAGTGTACTGTGCTGGGAAAAAAAATTAAAAGTAGGAGAAAAGCCTTCTTTTTCTCATGGATCACCTTACCATCTTACCATTTTAAAGGAGGCTGTGCTACTTAACCTAGAGTCTTCTGTTTATTATAGTTGCATTGTCTGTGTTGGAGAATGATTCAAGTGCCAATTGAGACCGTCTTTGTATGTGGAAAGAGAGAGGATGCCATTGTATTCTTCGTCTCAGACAGCAAGATGCCTTGAGCTGGCCCTACCTAGTAACATCAGACAACAATTGAAACTGATAGAAAATTCTGTAGAAATAGGTAATAGGATTTAGTATTTATCATTTTCAAATTGCCAAAAGTGCTTTCCCCAGCTTCATGCTGGCTCAAGTTTGAACAAATTGCTGACAATACTTGCATGTTCTAGAATTCAAACTGAGTAACCACTATAACGACTATAGGTTGTACATTTCAAGTGTAATTATATAACATGCAGTGTTTGTTCATTATGACAGTTACTAAATCCTTAGTAAGCCCATTGAACCAATGGCACTTATGAAGGAGATGACTCACCAAATCTCCATGGAATGAATGGACCTACTCTGGTTGCAACATACTACACTAAGCAGCAGGACTTCAGACACTAATACTTCTATTAATTAAATGTTTAACACACATTTAATAACAACTATCACACTTTACAATAATATAGTAACAATTATGATTGATGGCCTCGATTATTGTTATAGTGAGAAAAAACATAAAGTAGGTCAGATATGTTGCAGATGTAAGTGAAGGGCCAACTTTGAGGCTGTGCTCTACCCAGAAAGAGGTGGGGACAGATTCTGCTCCCTTTTTGTGGCATCTCCCTTAAGTACAATTATTACAAGGTTAAAGGGTGTGTGTGTGTGTTCACAATTTAGCTACAATATGTGGAGTGTTAATTCCTGTAGACTTCATTTCCCCAACATTTTCTCTGACAATTCAAGCACTTCTAAAAAACCCTGGGAATAGAAATTTTAATCATATACAGTACCTAGCAGGCTCCAGCTTGGTTTCTCTGCTGCTTTATTATCTTTTTCTTGCCCAAAGTTCAACAGGACTTAATTCTTATAGGGACATAGCCAGTTGTGAGAGGTCCCCACATTGCCTTCCATTGGGAGGGTTGGTTGCAGTCAAACAAAACTATTTTATTGTAGTTTATATGAACTCAAATATTGCCTGCTTGGAGTACAACAGAAAATGTCTCGTTGAGGGTGCCAGGGAGTTGACTTTTCCCCAAACAAAGTAAACTCTGTGGATTTGGAAGTTGAATCATGGCAACTGGACTATAAACTCTGTGGATTTCGAAGTTGACTTAATTCAACTTCCAGATAACCTCACCTGGATGATTGAGAATCTTCACAGTTAAATTCTGTCGAGGGCAGAACCCCACCTCATTCATCAAGCCCAAGACCTCCTTCAAGTGTGCAGGAAACGGGATGTGACAGCAGGATGGTGTATACAGGCTTCCAGTTTTCCCTGCACTCTGGTAGCTGCCACTCTCAGCCTGCTAGGTCCTAGATACTCTTCTGAGGTTATGGGTGTCTCTGTGACCCAATGCAACTCCCCCAAGGCGTGCTCAAAGTTCAGATGGACCCAGGAAACCTCATCCTGTCTGTGGCTGCGGTGGAAATGGAGGAGTAGCGGGGCAGACCTCGGGGGTTCTCCAGTCTGGGACGGGGGAAGAGCTCCTCTGGGGTTGCTACCATCAAGAGCAGCCATGGTCAGATATCTGCCAAGGGCCACCCTTCCCTATTGGCCCCCCTCTGCCTTGTTCCTCCTCACCATTGCAACCTGCTTGTTTATTCACCTCTTGCTTCAGCTCAAACAGCAGTGGTGAGAACAAAGGAGTGTGTGGAACATCTTTCCTGAGTTTCTTTTAAAGCAAGGTTTCATTGCTTCAGGAACCCAGGACAAGGAGAGAAGGTACACTGCAACACTTTGTTGCACATCCCATTTATAGTATGTTTAAAAATATGAACAGTACTTCTTTACACCTTTACATAGAAAAAAGCACATCATATTTTTCCCTCATTCATTGTCCACAGTTCTAGAAGACAAAGGCAGCTCCTCATTGTATGTGTCAAAAAATCACATTGTTATCTCTTCCACAGGACATGTGGGTTTACACATAGGATGAGATCAAATGTTGGGTAACTGAACCTCCACTTTCATAGTGAAACTTTTCTGTCCCCTACAGCCACTTGAACATGCACAACACCCATACTGGCACGCAGATATGGTACAGTCATGTAAACAAAAAGTACACCCTCTTTGAATTCGGGACACAATAAAAATCATCTGGTCCCTATCAGGTCTGAAAACTAGGTAAATACAAGCTCAGATGAACAACAACACTTGACATATTACACCACATCATGATTTATTTTACAAAAATAAAGCCAAAATGGAGAAACCATGAATGAAAGGCTGGGTCTGAAGGCACAATTAAATTTAAATGGAATATTTCATTCCATGTAGATTCTTATGGTGAAATGGTGGAAGGGGGTGGATGCTGGGTGACCACACCTGAGAGACTGAGAGAAAGGCCTCTTGGAAAATCTTAAAAAGCAGAAGGAGTTGGGTGTCATCAGCACACTGGTGGTACCAGACAACAAAATTCTGGACAACTTCTTTCAGGTTTTTTATATATATGTGAAATATGGAGAATCCTGGAATCCTGAGACATTCCACAGGCTAATGGTCAAGATCTTCAACAGGAGTCCCTCAGTACAACTATAATTTACAAAGTGACACCACACAAAATCCCAGAAACTGATTCCTTTTTTCATCAGTTAACCACTTCTCACCCAAACACAAAGCAGTTGTCAGGGCTGCTTTTCAACAAATGTGAATGGTAGTGGACAGAAGAGGGTATCCTGCAGACCATCTTGACTGCTGCCATTGGTGTTCTCTGCATTCAGGCTGCCCTTTGCTACGTCAGACTTGCCATCCTTTTTCCTTCCTGCAACATGAGTACAATATTACGCAGCAATGGGAAATCTTAGGAGTCAGGACACACAGAGTGCAATGGATGGCTTTTTGAATTGTGCATACAGAAGCACAACATCCCACATTCATAAACCAGAGAGTTTTTTTTAAAAAAAGAATTTAATCTATAAAGTACTTCCCACGACAAAAAAACCTTCATGTAAAACATGACTGTTTCATGTCAACCTTTCCATGATCACTAAGTTTCGATGTGCAGGAATGATGTTTTATTCTTTGGGATAGCCTTGATTTATGTCACTTTCTGCTTCTGCCCCTAGGGAAGCACCTGAACAGGTCAGTTCAGAAAGTTTCACATGTCATCTTCAGCTATCATAGAGTTAGCTATCCCAGGAAACCGACCACTGGCGCCAACTGTAATTACTCAGAAATCTGCCGGTGCTCAGAGGCACATGGTTTTCGTTTTCCCGTGTTCGGAGGCCAAGCCTGGCGACCGCTAGCAGAAATATTTCGAAGCCCGGGCTCGAATAGAGCCCTGGCGAAAGGTGGTGCGGGTGTCGTCTGTGTTACCGAACCGGAGCCGAACAGTCAGCCCACGCCCAGCTAGTATGAAACACGTCGGAAACAATAGGGCGTCTCCACGAGCGGCAGCAACCACCTTATAAGCGAGCTCAACAGAGCCGTGGGGCGGCAAGCAGGCAGCCTTCAAGGGTTTTTCCACGGCGTTGGTGTGGTGTTTGACTCCCCCTCCCCACCGCGTCAGTAAAAAGGCCCTGCTCTCCCTCCTCCGCCAGTCGAGGGCGTCTCTTTTTGCGGCGTCTTGCGTCCCTCGTTGCGCGCCGTGGGCATCTTCCTCTGCCCATGTTTGGCTCTTTCCCCGCCGAGGTTGTAGGACCAACCTGGGGGCGGGGAAGCA